TCTTTTGAAATTTTATTGAATTTACAAAAGAGTGGCATGGATTTAATCTTCATCCTCCTCCTCCTCATCCTGATTGATCTGGAAGTAGCGCAGTTCATAGCTCTCCTTGGTGTTCGCTACTACACGCAGCCAGTCACGCAGGTTGTTCTTCTTGAGATACTTCTTGGTAAGATACTTCAGGTACCTGAAAACAACAAACAGTTAAGTTTTACATATTCCATATGGTTTCAAATGAGATGGTAATAGTCATAAACACTGCAACAATACCTGAGATGTTTCAATGTGCATTCAAAAATTACAAATACAGGTAATTCCGAACTCACTATAAATATAGATACAGGTTTTATAACTAACTGCTTTGTATTCACACCACTTGGCTTACAGGGTAAAACAAAAGACCCATAAATTCTGCCTTGTGTAACTATCACTATAGTTGTCAAAATATCTTAATTGAAAGGTACATAAAAGCTACCAATTATAAGGTGTAAAATTAGTAGTAGTGGTTCTCCTAACAGCTTTTAAGGCCCTTCTCATCAGATCTTGCTTCTCAAACATATTCAACAAGTAAATGACAATAATAAAGCTGGCAAAGAAAGAAGCATTTCCCATGGCTTTCATGTGTTTAATAGTAAAGCTCTAAGCAGCCTGTTCCAGTAAGCGGACAGGAGTTCAGCATCAAATTAAATGCATGATTATAGTCTATATAATAAAAGCAAAAAATAATGATAAATATTATTTGAGAGTACCTAAACAAAAACATACATTTGATCACAAGCTACAAGTACGCTTCAGTTCATCATTAAAGAAATTAAGGACAAAAACAAAAAAAAACATTAATGGAACTGGCAGTACAATACTGCGCACTTTCAATTAGCAAAACGTGGGCTGTTAGTCACAATGACGACATGTACACGTCTTGCAAACACTGCACTCTGGTGTGCACACGTATTATTCAACAGCGTTCTGACTGTGTGGATGGACACAGACTGATTTATGGAGAGAAAACAATGTTCATTAACACATCTATTCAATTTAGACTACTAAAACTGATATCAAGATGGCAGACAATTTCTTTAGGCATAAATACTTAAAATACTTATTGCACCTTTCAATTCACCTTTAATAAATCATCAAACATTTTACAACATCACAATACAGCAGTGAAACAACAGCTTGCATGCAATTGCAATCCATGGAAAAACCGGGAATGACAGTATCCACACTGTGAGAAAAATAAGATCTTAAAGGGATAGTTCACCCAAAAATGAAAATGATGTCATTAATTCAGGGCTCGACAATAAGGATTGCTTATTGCCAGTGGCCAGTGGCCAGCGTGAAAGACGTTCGGGACAGTAGACGGATTTGTCACTTGCCCGATCGGGCCACTGCAGCATCGTCACAACATTTTATAATTTGCATGTGTTTTTAAGACTTGTTCATTAAAAAATTCAAGCGATTAAAAAGCATTTGCGCGCGTAAGACAACTCCTTTCAGTACTCACTCGTGTGCTGTGTTCTGTGTGAATAGCGCGTGCACAGACAGCCGCGTCTCTGACATGCGTGAGCCACCTGAACGGGCAAATACATACAAAAGTATGTCAAAATACCCCTCTTGGCAAGTAACTGTAGCTTTAACAATGATTAATCTATATTTAATTTATACACTGGAGTACAGATGCACCGATCGACCGTCCATTTTTTGTTTTATTTCAAACTATCTTCTGTTCCGTGCTTGCACAAACTGCACTGCAATGACTGTTTTCAGAAATGGCGTTTTCTTTTCATTTTGTCTCCGTATAATACATTTAAATTAGTGTTAATGCGTGCAGTGCTGCTGTGTTTATAGCGGTAACCAAGGGAACGCTGTATTACTGTTCCATAAGTGCCGCCTGCTGTCAGTGAGTGAATCTGCGTCTCATTCAGCCTGTCTGCGGTTTCTGTTGTGCACTGAATTTATTTAATACACAAGTTTCACAATTTCAGTTGAATTACTGAAATAAATGAACTTTTCCACGACATTCTAATTTATTGAGATGCACATGTATGAATGTGTTTCTGAGGGGAACGGAACTGACTGTTTTCAGAAATGGCGTTTTCTTTTCATTTTGTCTCCGTATAATACATTTAAATTAGTGTTAATGCGTGCAGTGCTGCTGTGTTTATAGCGGTAACCAAGGGAACGCTGTATTACTGTTCCATAAGCGCCGCCTGCTGTCAGAGAGTGAATCTGCGTCTCATTCAGCCTGTGTGCGGTTTCTGTTTCATATAGATGTTTTATGTAGCATAATTTCACAAAGCTAAAGTCAGGTTATTCTGTTTTTGCTTCTGATTTTGAAATTATACAGTCTAATATAAATCAAATATCAACTACACGTTCAAAAATGCGGATTCATTCATTCAAAGAGACGTAATGAAACATGCTGTTGAAATCATTTGAACTTTGAGCGCCCCTCGGCTGACCAGCTATGTGTCGGTGCTAAGACAGAGATTTCGCTTAATTTCCTTGGACATGACAACCTATTTTCACAAATATGTATGACTCGGCCTGGAGGACAGACGCAAGTAATTGCACGCGCTCAGTCGATCTCTCTCTCATTCACTGTCTGTTTAGGCTTGTTAAGTGCAAATCTACAGAGCCTCTGTACAAATCAGCATGGTACACATTATGTTATCATTACTAACTTGTTTAATATTCAGTCCACATGCATGAAGTGTAAATCGAGAAGGGCATAACCTTACGAAAAATTAAAACACGGAAAAATCGCGGTTGCTGCGGTTCTTGCATTCCTCTGTGGTTTGCTCGTCAATAGTGCGGTATTGCGATATTGCGGTTATCGCGACAGCCCTAGCTGTCACTTGTCTTTAATAATGTTTAAACTATATTTATGTTTATTTTTGGCTAGTGATTTTTGCTGTGGTATCGAAATTGAAATAGAGAATTTTAACATTTAATTGGTATCTAAAATATTGGTGTCATATAAGCTTATTAGAATACAAGATAACATATCAAAAACAATGGTAACAGCAACTATTTTATTTTTTGTGGCAGGGCCAGTGAAAATGTTGGCAGGGCAAGAAAAAATTTGAACCACTGGTCCAAACGGGCCAGTAGAAAAAATCCTTAGCGTTGATCCCTGTAATTACCCTCATGTCGTTCCAAACCCATAAGACCTTCATTCATCTTGGGAACACAAATTAAGAAATGTTTGATGAATTCTGAGAGATCTCTGACCCTCCCATAGACAGCAAGCATACTACCATGGTCAAGGCCCAGAAACTTAGTAAGGACATTGGTAAAATAATCCATGTGACATCAGTGGTTCAACCGTAATTTTACGAAGCTACGAGAATACTTTGTGCGCAAAAAAAACAAAAATAACTTTATTCAACAATTTCTCTCCTCCACGACACCATGGCGCCATTTTAGAGATTTACATTTTAGCCATTTACGTTGTTTTCGTTCAGATCAAGGCATAAACAACATATCCGCGTGGCGCAGCTGACACAGAACAGCATACGTAGTTTACGTAAAAATTACAGTTGAACCACTGATGTCACATGGATTATTTTAACGATGTCCTTGCAACATTTCTGGGCCTTGACCATGGTAGTATGCTTGCTGTCTATGGGAGGGTCAGAGATCTCTCAGAATTCATCAAACATTTCTTAATTTGTGTTCCGAAGATGAACGGAGGTCTTACGGTTTTGGAACGACATGAGGGTGAGTAATTAATGACAGAATTTTCATTTTTGGGTGAACTAACCCTTTAAACAAAATTGCACTGGAAATAACAAATGGATGATAATTACAATAATAATTTTGTTTTTCTGTTTGGTAATGCATAAGCTGAATTTCTCAGTTCCATAATCTTATTGATATCTTAACTTTAACTGAACTAAAACTTCAATATTATAGCCTCAGAGAAATAACAGCAATAAACATAGTTAGCAGCCGTTAACATGCATTTGGATCTCTAATCTCAGACTTACCTCTTAGAGAAGGGAACCTCGGATGTCATATATATATATATATATATATATATATATATATATATAGTAGGGCAGGAAGAATAGGTTCCCATGCACCCGCTTGGCGGTTTTTTGGAACCCTAATGGTGTCTAGTTAAGAATTTTTGATGTTGCCGAGGTCAACTAATGTCCCATGGGGTTCGTTTGGTGGCCATCTTGAAATGATGTCATCGCGAGTGGCGAAAAACACATATTTTGATAACTCCTGAACCGTACAACATACAAACACAAATGAACCAACTTTTTCATATAATTCTGACATCAGGAATCAAATGGAAAGGTCAATGACATGATACAACCACTCTTTATTGGTGGAAAACAGGCAAATTACACATTTTTCGGCTCAAAACAATGTAACTTTTGCTATTTTGTTCTGCAGTAGTTTCCTGCATTAGCCAAATTACACTGCATTTTCTCTTATGTCAATTGCAAGGTTGTTAAAAGGATGTCAATCACTCCAAGTGACATAGATGGCAATCTGATTAAACTAGCTAATTGAAAGCAAAAGTCATCAAAACCCCATTTCAGTCTCCAGTCATCATTCTCCGCCTCTTCAAACGTGACCCCGCTGGTGGTTTGTTTTTCAATATCTTTGCAATGAAAGTATAATCAAAACAAACCCGTATGTTAAAAATCTAAAATATAACCCAGAAAATTCTACACAAATCAAAGTAGAAATTGGCATGAACAGCAGCCCAATACTGCTACATCTAACTCCTCGTTTGCCATCGTAGCTACTCATTGGTTACTTTTAACTGCTACTTACGCATTTCAGATATCAATCGTCACCACATATATATATATATATATGCGTGTGTGTGTGTGTGTGTGTGTGTGACTTCTGTTTTTATCCATACTTTTTTTTTCTTTTTCAAAATATGCTGAATAATTACAATTATTTCAGGTATTTGCTGTTTTTCCAGATGGCAGGAGGAATCATCTTCTCTTATGATGAGCTGTTTGATCCAGACTATGCCAGCCTCCATCACCTCGTCTGTCACCTGTGTCATGAGCAATACCACCAACCATGTCTTCTGGACTGCTACCACATCGTCTGTGCCAGTTGTCTGCATAGCAGGGCCCATGACAATCGCCTCAATTGCCCCCTCTGTGGGTAAGTACAAAAATCAAATAGGAAAAGTGTACATGCATTACGCTTGACCAATTAAAGCAGCATATTTGCTCCATGTGAAGAGGCAGGAGGAATCATCTTCTCTTATGATGAGCTGTTTGATCCAGACTATGCCAGCCTCCATCCCCTCGTCTGTCACCTGTGTCATGAGCAATACCACCAACCATGTCTTCTGGACTGCTACCATATCGTCTGTGCCAGTTGTCTGCATGGCAGGGCCCATGACAATCGCCTCAATTGCCCCCTCTGTGGGTAAGTACAAAAATCAAATAGGAAAAGTGTACATGCATTATGCTTGACCAATTAAAGCAGCATATTTGCTCCATGTTGGTTTGTTGTTATAAAAAAATTACTAAAAACCATTTTTATTAAACCAAAAGTTAAATAAGGACAAGGTAGACACTGAAAAAAACTCCCAGTTGCTTTATTGAGATCTCAGTACACAACAGGAACCTTTACCTCAAGGATTTTGGGGGTGAGGAAATGGAAATCGTGACAAAAGCATTCAGTCAGAACCAGCCACAGCAGACTGAAGCCAAGTTCCTCTATAATGGTTACATTTGGCTCTCCACTTATTCTAGTTTTCTTCAAGCTGGATGTTGGGTTAATTCCAAAACGTATCTAGTGCCAAACCTGAACTCCTGTAATCTTTCTTCGTACAACCCACCCATTATAGTTTTGTATACATAACTGTCAAGTCTTCTGTTCTGAAGAGTTGTCCAAGGTTTTGATGACAAACATATGTTCTTCCGATGGTATGATTCATTTCTTGGTGTTCACTTTTAAAATTAAAGGTTCCAAAAGGGGGTTTTGAAGTGATGCAATAGAAGCGCCATTTCCCCAAAGAGTTCTTAGAATTTTTCCTCACTATACAGAACTTTATGTGTAATGGAAATGTTCCATGATCAATGCCGATAAGGAGGCTTTATTTTGTTTAATTAAATTAAAGCACAAATTCATGCAACATGCAACTAGCAGCTATCCTCTTAAGGCAGTTAGCATTAGGACAGCTGCAGAACGTCCACAGTGTTCTGATTTTAGCCCCATAACAAGCACTCCACATGGTGGTCTCTCCGATCACATCACAGCATTGTCATTTGATAAAAACAAGCATCTTGGCAAAGGTGTATGGTGCATTGATCCCACAGCTTATAACAATTACACACAATCTGGTGTTGACCTATTTCATCGTGTTTAGAAGTGACTCAGAGATCTGCTATTTTTATGTGCTTCTTTACAATTTACAGAGAAAATCAGGAGACTGGTGGTGAAACGAATTAGTGATAGATGATATATCGACCAGGGAAATTAATCAGACAATATTTGGACATTTTGCATAATCAGCTGAGTCATTTCCAAAACTCAACAGTCGGTTAGATCAGTTGAACCTTGAGTAAATATTGTTTAAAATGAGGATTTATTTACATTTTTGTTCATCTTACTTGCTATCATTAAATTATATAAAACGTTTTGGTCAGTAAGACTACCGGTATGTAATGTTTTTGGAAAAAAGTCTGTTATGCTCAACAAAGCTACATTTATTTTATCAAACATCAAAACTTTAGACAGTTTACTTTCAATATATATATATATATATATGCAGACTTAGTTTTTTTAAGTTATCATGTTTTTATTGTGTTTTATTGTGTTAATATATTTAATATATTTGTTGACAACTACCTACAGCCATATCACCCCGCGGCCCAAAACTGGTTGCCCACTGAAGCTAAGCAGCGTTGAGCCTGGTTAGTACCTGGATGGGAGACCTCCTGGGAAAACTAGGTTGCTGTTGGAAGAGGTGTTAGTGAGGCCAGCAGGGGGTGCTCACCCTGCAGTCTGTGTGGGTCCGAACACCCCAGTGTAGTGACGGGGACACTATACTGTCTTTGGTCAGTAAGACTACCGGTATGTAATGTTTTTGGAAAAAAGTCTGTTATGCTCAACAAAGCTACATTTATTTTATCAAACATCAAAACTTTAAACAGTTTACTTTCAATATATATATATATATATATGCAGACTTAGTTTTTTTAAGTTATCATGTTTTTATTGTGTTTTATTGTGTTAATATATTTAATATATTTGTTGACAACTACCTACAGCCATATCACCCCGCAGCCCAAAACTGGTTGCCCACTGAAGCTAAGCAGCGTTGAGCCTGGTTAGTAGCTGGATGGGAGACCTCCTGGGAAAACTAGGTTGCTGTTGGAAGAGGTGTTAGTGAGGCCAGCAGGGGGTGCTCACCCTGCAGTCTGTGTGGGTCCGAACACCCCAGTGTAGTGACGGGGACACTATACTGTCAATAAGCACCGTCTTTCGGATGAGACGTTAAACCGAGGTCCTGACTCTCTGTGGTCATTAAAAATCCCATGGCACTCATCGTAAAGAGTAGGGGTGAAACCCCGGTGTCCTGGCCAAATTCCCTCCACTGGCCTTTGTCAATCATGGCCTCCTAATAATCCCCATCCACTTGATTGGCTCTATGACTCTCTCCTCTCCACCTGTAGCTGGTGTGTGGTGAGCGCACTGGCGCCGTTGTCCTGTGGCTGCTGTCGCATCATCCAAGTGGATGCTGCACACTGGTGGTAGTTGAGGAGAGACCCCCCCCACACATGTTTGTGAAAGCGCTTTGGGTGTATAACAATACACGAGAAAGCGCTATATAAATGCATCATTCATTCATTCATTCAACTAACTAACTA